AATTTAATCAGTTTATATCTAACAAACGACCACGAATGGAAATAGAAAATCATTCTCCACCTTCTCCACCTCCAATTAATTATAATGAAATGCCGATTTCTACATTTTGTGGTACATTGGAAAATACAATAAAATGTTTATCATGTGGTAATCAATCAAGAACAAAGGTAATTAATAATATAAAATATTAAATTTGATTTTTATGAAATTATATTATCTAAACTTTAACTGACGTTACTAATATTCATGTTTTTTTTAATCTTTGAAAGGAAGATTTTCATGATCTTACATTATCACTTAAAGTTGAAAATGAATGTAAGTTGACCCATTAATCACCAATATTTTGATTTAATACATCATTTATTTCTAACTATATTAATTACTTTAGCTGATAAACTTTCACTTGATGATATGTTGTTTGAATTTTTTACTCCAGAAGAGTTAAATGAAGATAATCAATACTATTGTGATAAATGTACGGGATTGCAAGATGCAATTAAAGTATGTGTGGTTGTTCATTTATTTAAAGTTTATAATTTTTATAAAGTAAATTCGTATTTTTGTATTGATAAATGTTTGTGAATAGACAACACGAATAATTGTCCCTCCACGTTATTTGATATTATCACTTAATCGATTTGAATATGATACAAGATATGCAAGAAGAATAAAAATTATGACTCCTGTAAGTTTTAATATTGTTAGAGGATGAAACCTAAGTTGGTTTTGGTTACTTTTTGATGCGGATCAATATATATATATAAACTTATTTATTACGATATAAAATTAGAGTAAGATATTAGGTAATAACCTGCATCAATAAGGTAACCGTTTTTGACTGTGGTTTCATCCTGTCAATATTATTGTTTATAACTAATGATTGTGATTTAAACATTAGGTTACGCTTCAAGATACATTATTTTTAAATATTCAAGATACGTTATCTTTAAATCTTCAAGATGCACTATCTTTAAATGGCAATGGAATTAATCCTTTTGATACAAATGGCTATGATAAAGATAGTAATGTTGAATATGATTTGTCTGCAATGGTTGTACATTCTGGAACATCAGCTGAATATGGACATTACTATACTTATGCAAAAGATGAAGGTATGTTTAATTATAATTCATAATCTCACAATGTATAACTATGATCCAAATTAAAAATAAACTCATAATGTATTACTTTTTTTTTTATAGAAGACGGTAATTGGTATCATTTAAATGATAACTGTGTGATAACGTCTACTTTGTCAAGAATCATTGCAGAAGGTGAAGATTACAAGTCTGATACACCATACCTTCTTTTCTTTCGGCAAAAGAATTTGGATAATCATTGTTGGGTTGGGTTGGAGAGGAACGAAATGGAAGATCTTTCCACGTTGTTTTAAATTCAAACGATGTCCGGCTTACATCCCTAAAATAACAATAATAGATCTTGATTTCAGTTTGTCGTTATCCTCTATAGAAATTTTAAAAAATATAATAATAATAATAAATAAATAAATAAAAATAATAAAACAAAAAAAAAACTAATTTGCAAAAGTAAATTAATAATTTATTGTATTGAAGTCTCCTAAAATGCAAAAAAGAATTTATACATCTGAACAAAAGGTCACAAGAAATGGTGTTAAAAGATTAGCAGCATGATCGATGCAAACGGCAAAATATTAACGAGAACGTAATTCATAATGAAAAATAATAGGTTATTTTCTAAACATAATGCCACTGTGACAACTGTATCAATATGTATTACTAGTAACGAAAAAAAAAGAATGTTTTTATTAACGTTTTCATTAATAAAATAAGATTAGAACTTTCTAACATTTATTCCAGTAGAAAGCATTTATTATGATTACGATTTTTAAGTATTTGGAATACGTATCCAGTTCGTGCAATTACTTAAAGTTTTTCTTTCCCAATAAATCAATTATTGTGAAAATGGATTATGCTGAAAATTGGGGTCTCTTTTTAAATCTATAAAACCTACTAAAATTCACATAAAGTAAGTATGGGTATTATGGTGGGTATGGGTATTGTGGCGGATTTTAAAAAATCAACTATTTCTCATAATCCA